AGACAAACACTTTAAAAAAATTCCCAGAACAAAAACTATACACAGTTACTTAAATTCAACGGAAAAAGTATCCGTACATATCAAAACGGGATATTTCCCTTGTAATATGGTGACAAATACATTCCCTTAAGCGCTTATATTGTATTGTATAATTGATCTCGAACTTGACGGTTGACCTTAAAGTTATTATAATTTTTCATTGTGCATAAATTCGCGATGACCCCTAAAATTAAAGAAGTTAGTGCTGGCGAAAGAAAAATTATTCTTAAACTCAGAAAAGAAGGAAAATCATTCCGAGAAATAGGTAAAATGATAGGAAGGACACATTCTTCTGTGCAGTATGTGGTGGAAGCATTCAAAAAAACTAAGTCGATTGTGCCAAAGCCACGCTCTGGTCGACCGAGTATATTAACCGTTCGAGAAAAACGAACAATATTACAGTCAGTAAAAGCAAATCCTCGACTTACTGCCTCGAAAATATGTGAAAATATTAAAAATTTGTTCGACAAGGATCTCCATGAAGATACTGTACGAAAATTTTTGAAGAAAGATGGGTATCACGCACGTGTAGCGCGTAGGAAGCCCTTTATATCCGAAGTAAATAGACAGAAACGTATGGATTTTGCAAACAAATATTATATATCAGCAAGCCTCGGGAGTTTTGGGAACGTGTCTTATTCACCGACGAAAGCAAGTTTTGTGCTTTTGGCATTAAAGGAAAAAAGTTGGTGTGGCGTAAGAGTGGTACTGCACTTGATAAAGAAAATCTTTTACCCACCGTCAAACATGGCGGAGGAGGTGTGATGGTATGGGGGTGTATGGCGGCAGAAGGAGTAGGCAAACTCGTTTTTATAGATACAATAATGGATCAATTCGGCTATTTAAGTATTTTAAAAAATAATTTGAAGGAAAGTGCTCAGCAGTTGGGGCTTGGTGATGATTTTTGGTTCCAACAGGATAATGATCCAAAGCACACGGCGCACAATACCAGGCTTTGGTTGCTTTATAACATAAAAAATCAATTGCGCTCGCCACCTCAATCTCCAGACCTCAACCCCATCGAGCATTTGTCGGATTTACTGGAGCGCAGAATCCGCCAACACACCATAACCTCCAGAGAAATGCTCAAAAATGTGATCATAAATGAATGGGCGAAAATTACAAATCATGACACATCCAAACTAGTTCATTCAATGCCACATCGACTTGCCGACTAAAACGTAAGGTCTATCCTGCTAGTTATTAGGATATTAAATTTTTCCAAAATAATTTAATTATATTTAATTATAATCAAAATGTACGAATACTTTTTCTGTTTCATTATGTGAGCTTTTTTTGTTTTTGTTCTGTGAAATTTTTTTTAAAGTGTATGTCTAAAAAAAAAACTCATGGAAAGTGTAGTAAAAATACTGAATAAAACTTTTGGATACTATTTTTATACATAATAAGTTATTTGATCACAAATTTCTCAGTTTATTGTTTTCATGTCGAGGTGTACGGATAATTTTTCTGGCGAGTGTATATGTTCGTGTTCGGATTAAGCTTAACTCGTTCACGCCTACGACCTAAGCCACTATATAAATGGAAACGCGGCCGCTTATCCACAGTTTTATTATTATCATTTGTTTAATAAGTATATTGCTTACGCAACGCACATACAAAAGTTGGAAAAATTACATATCGAAGGTTATTTTATTATGAATTCTGGGGTTTTTACCGGTAATACAGATTTTTAATTCAGAAGGCTTTTCATAATTATAAATTTGTCATATCATAGAAATTGAAAACATAAATCTAAATAGGTATGCGCAACAATTTTTCATTTAGGAATATTCGTTGTGTCTATTTATAGCATTTCGCACATTGCGTGGTGTATTTTTCTTTTTCGAAGTTAAATTTTTCGATGTTCCCTCATCTGGAATTACAAATTAGTATCAGAGAACGTAAATGAATAGAAAAGGATTCATTTACGTTCTCTGTCATTAACATTCTCTGCTTGTACGCTATTTCCCACTTTGGAAACATTGAAGAAGAGTGGCCGATAGGTGGCGCAAATTTAAGGTTAAGTCATTATGCCAGTTTTTCTTTTTCAATGTTATATTTTTCGATGTTCCCTCATCTGGAACTACAAATTAGTACTCAAAAAGATTTCATTTAACATTTGCTCCTTTGCTATTCATTGACATTCTCTGATTTAACATTTGCTCCTTCTCTATTCATTTACGTTCTCTGCATTTACGTTCTCTGCCTCTCTATTCATTAACATTCTCTGGCTTAGCAAAGACTTGTACCCTATTTCCCACTTTGGACACATTGAAGAAGTGTGGCCGATAGGTGGCGTAAATTTAAGGTTAAGTTATTATGCCAGTTCTGTGGATAGTCGATGGTGCAGCTCGATAATGTTAATAAATAAAGAACAGAGAATCTTTATTAGCGTTCTCGTCCATAGAGTACTGCCGATAGCGCAGTGCTTATTAATTTTGCTACCATAGATGCAGCTAGTGAACAAAATAAGTTTGAGTGAACACATCGAGAATAAATACAACAAGAAAAAACGTTAACTCGGGCTGCACCGCAGCTATTATACCCTTCACAGATTTAAATTTCCCTTACAAGAACTTAATTTTGATCGATGAGTTTGTATAGCAGCTACTTATATGCTATAGTGATTCGATCTGAACACTTACTTCGGGATCGTTGCTTTGTTCAATAATACATGTCATATTTCGTGAAGATACCTTGTCAAAAAAAATGTTTCCCATGCGGGGACTTGAGTTTGATCGTTTAGTTTATATAGCAGCTAAGAATATGCTATAGTGATCTGATATCGTCGGTTCCGACAATTGAGCAGCTTCTTGGGGAGAACAGGACGTGTGCAAAATTTTATATCGATATCTTAAAAACTGAGGAACCAGTTCGCGTATATACAGGTATACGGACATGGCCAAATCGACCCAGCTCGTCACGCTGATCATATATACACTTCGTACCAAATTTAGTATACTCTGTTCAGTCCATACAAATGTTTGGAAAAGCAGTGCAGCTAACATGTCCATCTGATTGTGTCTCGCCTCCACATGCAATAATTATTAAGTAAAAGGGTTTCCAAAGAATATACATATCGCACAAATCCTTAAAACTGTATCAACCACACGAGTTGGAAACACGTCGCTCGAATATCGGGAATAATTGTTCTCACCCTTAATATAACAGTTATGTTGAAAACTAAGTATAAAGCTTGAACAATGGACGTATCTCCGCCCCCTTTGGGAGAAGTCTCATATCTCAGCAAGTACTTGACCTATTTCAACCAAATTTGGCGTATAGTTATTTCGAGTTTATATATAATATTATATTTTAAAAATGGACGAAATTGGACTACAACTACATCTACGTCCGACATAATACAACTATTTTCAATTCCACCAGGTTCTTCCACCTTACGGAAAATTTTGGATTAAAAATTTGCACAAAATTTCTGTACAATAAGACCCTTTGATGAAATTAAGTGAACAACGCCTGAAAAATACTTACACTCGCTTGATGCTTACATATTGCGTAAGTTTAAAATGCTCTTAGCCCTTACTTAATTACTAGGCTTAGCTGAATTGCAACTTACACAACAAATTAGAGACCGAACCGAAATGAAAGGGAGAAATCAGATTGCATTGCCAGAAAAGTTAGTTAGAGATAACCATACTGTCTGTGGAGACGCACGCTGTGTTATAGCTTTCGTACTAACTCCTTCATTTTTAAATTTTTTGAACTTTTGACAAAAGCTATTGTTTCGGTCTTTCATCAATTTTGATACGGAAATACGATTTCTTCACACACAATGTTCCATTATATTTGAATCCCATTTGTATTCGGGGAATTTTCTGACATTCCATAAGTTGTTGAGTTTGAGTTAAGTTGAAAGTTCTCTGTAATAACTCAATTCAATATGATATTCCATTTTCTAAAATACATCTGTCCCATGGTATATTGTGTATTTGCATAAAAATTTGTATATAACGTACCAAAATTAATAGTAAAATTTTAATTTGCCAACAACTAACATAATTAAAATAATTGTAAATTTAAATTCTTGAGTAGCAAATAGAGATGAACATGTGCAAATGCACATTGCCCGGGTACGGCCATCTCTGTGCTTCCTCTTCTACAAAGTACTGTCTACAAAAATCGAGTTAACGTAACTAGAATTGCAGCCTATCTAGGAGAAAGAGGTGTAATAAATTAAGAGTAAAATCTTTACTAGTAAAACGCTCTCCATATCCTACGCTCTTGACTCTCGCCCCCTCTTGCTAAACTCTATATCTTTGAATTTTAGATTTAAAACTCTTTTTCTGGAGGGAATCGGCGAACTTCTGATAAGCCAGGAAACAAATAAATCGTCAAATGCCATAAAAGCCATTGAATCATCATCAATCAGTTGAATGAGAAACCCTCCGGCCGGCTTTAATGCACGATACTTTACATTAAGACCAGAAAGTTTCCGGAAATTGTTAACCCACAATTCCTGCCGTTTACGACGGATGTTTTTGCGCAAACGCCTTAAAATGCTCAAATAATACTCTTTATTTATTGTCTGTTCTGTTGGAACGAATTCATGATGAACTAAACCGCGAATATCGAAAAAAACAATTTCCGGAAACTTTCTGGTCTTAATGTTGCTACAGAGTATAATGAACGGTTTTAATAACAAAAACTCGTTTAATCAACCACCATATTCACCGGATATGGCCCCATGCGACTTTGTTTTGTTTTCAAACCTCAAGTTACTACTCCGTGGAACCCGTTTCGACTCGATTAAGGCCGTAATAGAAAATACGCAGAGGAAACTTTAGACGGAGCTTATTTTGATGAAGATAAAACATTTTTCGTTTCATTTACAATTTCCGGCAACTTTCTGGTCTTATATAAAGAGCTTGGGTATTAACGGGAATATACCCTCTTCTGCCTGTAAGAAATATATGAAGATTTTTGTTAATGTGACTTACCTGAAAAAATAGCGTAAAAGCTACCCATTGATAATATTTCGTATGCTTTATTGTGAGAGGACCACGTCCCTGCGAATTATGAACCCCAGGAAAAGGCACCTCGGAACCTTGTTTTTTCATGAAAGCGTCCACCACTGTATATGTCGAGTGTATCCAACAATATGTGTTGAGGACATCTTCGGGAATGTCTCTACAAGTCGCAGCAATAAAATGAAAACAATTCGTATTAATAACGCTTATATTGGCGGCAGTGAACTTAATGGGGAGTTTTGGAAATTATTTAACGCTTAGCCGCATTTCCTACAAAATACTTGTAGTGTATTGGTCTTGTTAAATAGTTCTCAAAATCTCAATTTATAAGGGAGGTTCCACTGGGGAGGGGTGCTATTATTTAATTTTCGTTTTAAATGTGTTGGTGTTGAAATCAACATGCAAATACAAGAGAAGAACTCGATACTGAAGTTGGTAGCCAGAAAGGTATAATGCTATTCTAGTTTTCCAGCCATTGGCCGGGTGCGAATTTGTAGTGTTCGGTTTCTGTATACAAATAGGTGTGCATTTGTGTAGTTGTGAGTGTGTGAATAATGTTATAGTTGGATGTGGATTGGTTTTGATTAATTATTTGATTAGAATGCCTTAGCATCCTAATCGGTCCTACCTTGTATGTACACAGTCTATGGGATTTCCTACGTACTGCCGCGTCGTAACAGCGATCGAGAATGTTATTAATAAAATAACAGTTGCATTTGTGTGTAGGCGAAAAACAGGTGAATCGATTTTGACATGAGACACCTTTTGAGAGGTAAAAGTATAAAGTTGTTGCACAACAATTCACACCAGTTCCAAATTCCAATCGCAATAGCAATCACAATGCCGTTCAATGGCAATTGCAATACATTATTCGATGGATGTTGCGGCGAGCGATGAGGTCAATAGCGTACAAAAGTTGTCGTTGACGTCATCAACAGCAGCAGCAGCAAAGTCCGTTTCCAGCGAGCGCCCACCCACCGTAGCGAGGTAGCGGGGTGGGAGCCAGCCGCAGCGCAGATGGAGGCGGAAGTAGCGACGATGGTAGTTGTGGCAGAGGCAATAGCAGACAGCACCGAAAGTTTGGTTTTCGATTTTTGATTTTGTGATTTTGTACGCGCCGCAGAATTGCATTGCAATGCGATTTCAATTTCAATTTGAGTATGTATGGTTTCATGGTTCGATTCGATTCGTTTCATTTTGATTTGATTTGATATGGGCCCCCAATTAGCAGGTGATAAACCAACACCGTCGCCGAGTTACATATGCAAAGTTTTTGTTGATTGGTCAGTTGGTTGGTTGGTTGGTTGGTTGGTTGGAGACCACGTCGAAGTCAGAGTTAGATTCGGAGCAAACGGATGAGTTGGATAGTTGGTGTTGGTGTAGAGGATTGAGGTAAAATTTTTTTAAGGAATACAAAAAAGAATTTTTGTTATTGAACGAATAGCTTTGATTGTTTTATGAATGAAATGTAATGCTTTCCAACTAAAAGTGTTTAAGTTGAAAGAAAAACGTGTATGGTTTTTAAATAAACTATACGACTGCGTCGTTTGCATAAAATTAGTAATTATTATTAATAGTAAAGTCAACAATATAATAGTAAAATAAGTATTACATAATGGCGACAATTTAAACTGTAGTAATAACAATAATTATGATAATAACTGTCGACTTATGCAATTAATGAATACTTCAAAAAATACATTTTTTATTACTGCAACTATGTAATTCAATTTGGTTTTTACAGTTAAGCAATAATTAAACAAACTGTTTAACTAAGTAGGGTAACTGTGCAGAAGAAATAAGTATGTTGGCTCCCTCCGCAGGCTTTTGTCAAACCATTTGTTTAATTGCTTTTTGAATTTTCCAATTTCTATAATCAAAATACCAAAAGTTGGCTATGTATCAACATAAGTATTCAAATATACCAGCTGTACTCAATATAAGTATAATAATAATAACTTAGTTACTGGTTCCTATGATATTTGTAAATCTCTGCTTGTATACTGGATTGTACTTTGTATTATTACATATTGCTAATCGGACGAATTCAATTCAAATGTGTTACAGTTATTACAAAATCATTTTGTTAATACGAAAATACAAATAGTTTTAAATTAATTTTTCCGTACATATGTGTGCACAATTTTGTATGGCAGGAAGGTTAGTATTTACTTTTAATATGCAAATAGGTTGTACATACGTTAACCAAAAATATATAAATATATTATATAAGTATGTAGTTCTCGTGTTGCTTGTAAGCTTGACGATATAATTACAATAAAATATGACACCTAATTTGTTGTAATGGCGGTAAAAGTTCTATAATGAGTTTTATAATACTTTTTATAAATGTCTAAACCTCTTCTACTTTCTGTTGTTGAATTAAACAAAACGTCTGGAAATTTTGAGTTGTCTCCAAGCTTATTTAGAACTTATTGTAAAAATGAAATAGTAAAGTAGATTTTAACGTTATACCATATGAGTTATGTGCGATTATAGGAATGCAAACTTTCTTCTCGAATGCCATTATTGAATTGATTGAGAACTCAACTGCTCGAATGTAGTGATATTGGCCATTTGCATTTTAACTTCCAAAAAATAAGTTTATTTTTTTTCGGGCTTAATCAGGCTTATTTGTGATAATATTATATGAGTCATAGCAGTAAGTCAGAATGCATAAAGCTAGATCTTTTTACAAAGCAGTTATGCTGAAAAGGTACTATTCATATGTTTTGGACATAGACCTAATTTTCAAAAGCAACCCTTCGGGAATAGCTCGCTAAATTCCGTATAAGTACTCCTAAGGCGATGAAAACTGAGGATATCCAAAACTGGCTGCTGCTAATTTTGGATGACCGTCAATTAAGGTTGACCGATAGGTTTTAGATTTGTGTAAAGTGAGTGCCGGGAAAGCTGATAAAGCCGCTGTAAGGCTCAGAGAAGCTAGGTATATGAAAGGGTCCAAACAAGGTCAAGCTGAAACCTCTGCGACACCACTTTTTACGGATGGGTCGAAGCTAGGAGGGAAAGCTGGAAAGAGAGTCTTCTGTAATGAGCGCTCCCTAAAACTTAGCTTTAGGCTACCATACTACTGTACTGGTTTTCAGGCAGAAGTGACTGCTATTTTGGTAGCAGTGGACTTACTGCTGCGAAGTACAGCTTCTTTCAGGGGGGTTAGCATTCCCTCCGACAGCTGTGCAGCGATACTAGCGTTAATGCTCGCAAACTGTGCGCTTAAAGTTAGTCAAGGATTATCACTAGAAATAGCATCAACCTGCTTCATCAACTGAGCTAGCAAGAGGGGGTATCCCCCTCACATCAGAGTGGGAACAAGCTAGATCAATTTTATCCAATTTCTAGGTATCACAACGGACCGGCTTTATAAGTTATCAAAGTGAGATCCCTCTTAGGATCCCCCGTTTAACCTAACCTAAGCCGACAACGGTTCAATCACTGATCCATCATATTACTTGTGAGTCCAATCGATGGTCAAGTTTAAAGCGTAGAAAGGCGCAAGATTCAGATGAATATCATCGATTATCACGAGAAGCGAAAAGCATCTACACAACTATTATGTAGTGTTATTGGAGCATTTGATTGGCGAACTCGCCTTAATATAATTGCCATGCAGTTTAATCCAGACAATCTACTATATTCTTCGGATCTTAACCCCACTTCTATTTGTTTGTTTTCAGTACTCAAGAGAATCGTTACTTATTTTAGAGCAAAATATAAATTTTACCGCAAAGACCGGTGTACCGCAAAAGATTTCACTCTCATTTATATAAAAAATTAAAATTAACAAGTGCGTTCTCTATGTATATTTGAATATTAAAGGGTCGCTCTTATATTGTTATATTTAATTTTATATTCATTTTAACCCCTACAAAGAAGTTCCTTTCTTCTTATTGCGTTTATGACGTGTTATCAACATATCCATATTTATTTCGTTCACTTTATTGTTGAATTGCCTAAAGCGAAAAATTGTATTGCGCAATATTCATTCAATAAACTTTGAATAAACGTATAGAGATTTTGCCACAACTCAAATGTCATCACAAATAAGTCTACAGTCGATTTTAATTACACTACCATTTCAATAAAGCGAATTTAACAATTGACGCATGTAATTATAGTGAAGCTTAAGAATATATACCATCATAACTTTCAAAATTGTGGTGAATAAATTGAAGATTAAAATGCAAATGCCGTCGGACGTTCAGTTAAATGTTTAATAATTTTCAGCAATTGAAGTTGATGTAGGAAAATTTTGTTAAATGTTAACGACTGACTAAAATTTCGAGCTTTACGGTATTTGAATGTTTAAATTTATGAATAACGATGACTACTGAATCGATATTTTATTTTTCTATTTTGTTTGAGTTATTGCCATATGCTTTTAATTTTTGTCAGGTACACAAATTCAATTAAAAATAATTACAAAAATGAAATTTCGATAATATTAATGTTTAATATTAAGTTTTTCTTTTTTTTTTTTGATTTGGTTTATATGAAACATTATTTAATTGAAATTTTTAATGTGATTTCAAATTGTACTGTGATTTGAATGTGAAAAGTGAGCGGTGAGCAGTGAGGAGTGAAAAGTAAAGTGGTGAGTCAAATTCATGTGATTCAAGTGAGCGTGAGCTGATCACAAATTAAGGGTGACTTAGTATTTAAATTGGTATTTGTAGTTGGTGGCAGTAAGTAAGTAATAAGTAGTGAGCAAAATGTAAATTTGAACAAATTTTGTTCATTAGTTGGTGACTTGAAAAACTTGGTTCGAACCGTATTTAGTGACCTAATAATATTCAGTGAGTTCCGTGAGGTGAACTTGTGATTTGAGAGTGAAATTTGTGATTGAGTGATTTAGTGAAGAAGTGAGAAGAAGTAGGAATAAAATTTAAGAAGATATATAAAATTAGAAAATGTAAGTTTTTAATTGATAAACAATCACATGAAATGAAAAGTTATTAAGGAAATCTAAATTTCAGTAACACGCAATTACGGTTTTGTAGTTGTAGTGATTTACTTATACATATTCAGTGTCTATTAATAAAATATTTTTTTTGTTTTTTAGTTTTAATTCAAAGCAACTTTTTAAAGATTTAGATTTGAGTGTCTTATTTTATCAAATCAGACTTTATGATCACCGTAAAAAGTGTTGATAATAAATAAAATACTTATTTAACTGTTACTTTATAGCATGATGAATGTATTAATCATGATCTACATATTTTATTTTGTATGTTTTAAAATTTGTTACTTCAAGCGGAGTAAACTTATTGCAAATCGAATCGAAAGCTGTGGACGCTTGGATATTATTTATACAAGGTGCGATCCAAAGTAAACAGTAAAAAAGTAACAAAGTGAACTCTAGTGGCACCATCTACATATATGTCGACTAGTGCGTTAGAATCTGCTATTCAATTGATGAAACCAGTTTATGGCGATGATTGTCTATCCCGTAGCAGAGTGCACGAGTGGTTTCAACGTTTTCAAAGTGGTCGTGAGGACATAAATGACGATGAGCCGAATCCCAAAAAATCGAGCCTGGAGAAGTCAAAAGTGAAGACAATGCTGATTTGTTTTTATGATTCCAAGGGTATTGTCCACAAAGAATTTGTTCCACTCGGCCAAAACGTTAATGCGGTATTCTACTTTGGAGTTTTGAAGCGGTTGATGCGCTGTATTCGACGTTTTCAGCCCGAATATCGCGAAGATGGAAGTTGGCGTTTGTTGCACGATAATGCGCCGTCTCA